TGCTGAGCTATTAAAACTCCAGATAACTCTGCTACTGGAAGCATCAGGGAAGGGAATGCTAGTTTAGGCCTGAGTTTATATAGTTTTCAACTAAATTGAATCATAATTCACATCACTTTGATCTAACTGCATTTGGGAAAAATATTGCATTGTGAAGGAATATAAATTCAGTCTAGAAAAGGTGGAGTATGCTAATAGATACTGTTAAATTCTTGGGACGTTAAAGATGCCACATGTTGATTTTTAGACAATTCTTCTTTTTGTTTTTTTTTTCATATGAGCCCAAGGATGGCACGGTGTGTTCTTTCCCTGATATCTCCTTGAAGATGCATTTTTACGCTTGTGAAAAGTCAAGGTGCTGAAACTCACCTGTTTCCATTGTCGGCACTGCTGACAAGTCCCAGCTCTCAGATTCTGCAGGACTTTGGAGAAGGGCCGTCTGTCGTGAGCTTCCCAGAGCGGAGTGAAGTCAGTGCTCGTACTCCACTGGTAAAGTTCCAGCTGAGTCTGACGGAAATATGTTTTCTACAATTTGGTGATGTCTCCATGATACCTTGTTTGGGATTTGCTTAAATGCAAATCTCAATGTGTGTTTCACTCCAATTTGCATGGTCAGTGTGGATCATTCCTGAAGAATCTCTTTCCTGTCTGAGCTGACGTTTCATGGATGAGAACTGACCTGAGGTTTACCAACAGAAAAATCTTGGATTAAAGTGAAAGGCTGGTAAGTCTTGCAGTGATGAGCCATCTCCTTACAGGTGAGGAATCTGGCTGGAGAAACAAGGCTTGGGACAAGAGCATCTTCCCGTGTGTAAGTGTGAGATACCCATGTGCTGTTGAAGATGCACACAGCATGCCTTACCTGGGGAGTAGTACTGTCTCTCTGGGACCCCACAGGCTAGCTTGTGCATTACACAGTAAAACTGGATCTTTGGACCCTGTGAACCCAGGAGGCTTTGCATGGCATCCACTAGTGCCTGCGGGGAGAAGGGTAACACTCAGCCAGGGACAGCATGCTCGCGGGACCGGCAGGAACATCCTTTAGCAAACCTGCGTGCTCCTCGGGGCAGGGTTTGGCTCTTCGTTATCAAGCAAGGGGTCTAAAGTTAGTCTCCAGTGAGGTGCCAGGAGGGGAAACAGCAGCCAAGAAAGGACCTGTTCTTACACTGCTGCTGGACCCAGATTAAAGGGACCTTTGGCCAGGCCTACTATAGCCATTCCTCTGTTCCCAGCCTCCAAACGGTAACAAGTCTGTTTCTGCAATATCTGAACCAAGAAGCAGAATTAAGCCTTTAAACTCTTGTTTAAGCACTGTAGCTTGTATTCTAGTTCTGAAACACATCCTCATTTGCTGCAAGAGAGCCATTTTCCCTGCAACATGGCTGGCGCAACCTATCAAGACAGTGAGGACAGGCAGTGGTGAGGCAGATGATCTCTGGAGCATTTTGTGTACGGGCAGAGTGGGCTGGTGTGCAGTATTGCTGTGCTCATCTTACATGAGCAGGAGAAGACTGGCGCCAATACGTTCCTTGTAATTAAATATTTCTCCTCTTGTGGAGTCTGCTGCCAGCTTGCGGGTCTATTAGGTAAGATCCGTCCCTTTTTGTAATTCCATGCGCTTTCCTTAGCATTGGTCCAGAGATGAATTTGGCCTGTCGTGTGAACTGCCTTCCTGGGGAAGGCTATTGGTTTTTTAAGTGTAATTATTCTTTTCCTTCGGAAGAAAACTATAATACAAAGAGCAGCAGCTGGCAAAGGCTGCATCTGCTCAGGCCATCGAGGCAATTGGGGAAGGCAGAGCTGAAATAACATCCTGAATAATTCCCAATGTTCTTAACTTGCAGAACGACTCGGGTATTCTGCCTGCTCAGACACGGAGCTCAGGACCAAGAGGACATCACACAATCAAGCTCATGGAAGACTTGAGCTCCTGTATACAGAGTCTTTCACCACGTATGTACGCCCTCTTATATAAGACAAGTCTTATTTTGGCCTGTCCATTCCTGGCCATCCCCTCCTGGTACCCACAGGTGTCTCGGATTTGGCTGACAGGTAATATAACGGGCAGGAAGCACCAGGCGGGTTGGGGAAGCACGGGCAGATGTAAAGTCACAACAGAAGAGGGCTGCCTTTGCTTTGTCAGCAATAGGCTTAGTTTGCCACCTGCCTCCTGGCAGGCTTCCCAGATAGTTTTGCGTCCCGTGCCAGATGTTTATATTCTTGGTTAGGAAATACAAGTTAAATCCCAGCCCCATTCAAGCTAATAGCTTTGCACTGTCTAGCCAGTCCAGGTGTTTTCTGTACCGATTACAAAATAATTACATTGAAAACAATGGATCCTTCAGAAAACAATTAAACAGAGGTAAGATAAAAACTCAGCCAGCCTTCTTTTAGATGAGATCCATCTCTTACATTTTCATTTGAAAAAGCATCAGACCCAGGTGTTCTATATAATTTCGTGACTTTAGGTGTGTACTTTCCATTCACGTTAGAGGGGAGAGCCGGTGCGTATGACAGGAGTTACGGAAGCAATTGTGGATTGGCAAGGCACGCTTTATAAAATCCCGTTTGGGTTTAGCATGGCATTTACCTGTGCCAAAGCAAACTGTCTGTGAATTGTGCCTCCGTTTTGTGTTACAAAAGCCTGGCATGGCGGATGCAGTAGTCAATGTATATTTGTTTAATTCAAACGGTCATTTCAATCCATCCGCTCGTTACTGAGTAAAGAGAATGTGTTGCATTCTCTTACAGCAGGTGCTGCGGTACTGACGGGCTTTGTGTTCGGCGCTTGGCCGGGATGCCCGGTGTGGATTTGGACTGCGGGCTTCGCGCTGCGAGGGCTCCGGCGCTTAGGCGAGGGACAATTCTGGAGGCGTCAGGAATGAATGTGGGGTGCAGCAGCAAAGCCTGCGCTGGCCTTCGCGCTCCACCACTGCAAAGCCAGGTCCCGTGCCAGATCTCATCGCGACGAAAGCGGTCCCGGCTCCCGGGGTTTCCCCAAAACCAAACGCCAGTTAGTCCCGCGGGTGTCTGAAAGGGTTTGGCTCGCGGGTCAGCCCCAAACGGCCTGGGAACCTTTGTGAGCCGGCGCCGCTTCCC